ATCGTCTCTTAGCAATAACGCAAGCGCCGGTACAATTAATTTAGTCGCTTGATAATGTTCCGAACCCGGAAGTCGTATCGTCGCGTTGAAAGATTTAAAGGCACTTGTTATACCGTCGCGCGTTAAACTCGTGGTTCTTCGATCAGTAAACACAATTGCGTCGTTAATCGAAACTCGAAACTTTTCGATGTTCGTTCTGTAAGCACATGTCTAAAATAAAAATTGAAATATGTTGAGTGATTAATAATATCAATCACATATATTTAATTATAATAGTAAATTAAAAAATAATAATAATATCACTGTCGACAGTTGCTTTCCTTAATATGGACAAAATCGACTTCCGGGTTTCGAATATCATCAAATGACTAAATTAATTGTATTAGATATCAGCGTTGAGAATTAAATATATATATATTTAATTATAAAAAATTGAGAAATTACGAGAAGAGGTGGTATCAATTTTCCGATCTTACAATTAGAATTAATTAACTGACTGAAGACCACCCGTCGAAGTTTGCCCGTTTCTAGATGATCTAAGGCATTAATTAGGATTATGTTACGATAAATTCGATATCGCAATGGAGACCAGGTTATACCTCCAACAATCTATTAAACATCTCGCGATGAAATACTAAAAAAAAAATTTGATCTTCGTAGAGCGTCGTCGTCCGGATTTCCGTGAACGCGCTCGTATCGTCGCGACGCTCATTTTCGCGCTTACAACGTTAAACGTTTTCGTATATATCCTCCCAATAATCCGTTAAGCACGTCACGATAGAGCGCGATAGACACCGGCGCGGACTCCGGGGTCTGTTGTTTGAAACTCGATTAACGAGCCCGAGTTCGGCTCGGCGCTACGTTTTCTCGGAAGAGGAACGCGCGCGCCTTATCGATCAAGAAGCGGAGCGGCGGGAATTAAGCCTTGATCGGTGGGGAGGAAGGGATTAGTTTTTGCGGATGACTCGCCCGCGCGCCCGATCCTTCCCTCGTTTCGCGAAGGACGAGTCGAGGCGCCGTAATTATTAGCCCCCTCCCCCCTGCCCCCCCCCGCCATCAAACCGGCGGGGCTCTCGAGAACGGGGAGATTAACGAGATAGCCTTAACGCGACGCGTCGCGCGATCGGCACGGAGCAAGAAGAAGGGAAAAGAAAAAAAAAGGGAGAGACATATACCTTCTTTTATTCTCGCATCCGCGAAAGTAACAATCGTCGTCTATCGCGTTCTATTATCCACGCTTCGTCGATATTTCGCGCGAGGCGGCGCGCGTCACGCTCCCGAAGCTGGCCGCATAACTAACGAGGACACGTGACTTCGCGCGCCGCTAACTATCGCAACCGGAGCTGCGTGAACTTGGCGCACGGCCGCCGCTTCTAACGCGAGTTTCTCGCGCCACGCCTCCGGAATACTCCGAAAAGTTGCAAGATTCAAAGGAATCGGCGTTTAACCGCCACGCACGAGATATACGTACATACCTCGATAGGATCCGTCGGAAGTTGATCGCGACTCGCGATCCCCGGAATCGATCGTAGAACCGATCGTCGGGCTCTCGAGATCCGTTCGGGAGCCTCCGCGGCCGCCGTCCTTAATCCGTCTTGGGCACTGCGGCGAAAAAGCACTTGGCGTTTCCTGCCCGCACACTCTCTTTTTCCTCTACTCGCGTGTTACTCCCCCCCTCGTTCCCGCTCGCTCGCTCGCTCGCTCCGTCTCGCACTGACACTCTCGTAGGGAAGACGCGTGCACGGGGAAGCCGCCGGCACACAGGTTCACGTCGAGAACGTGTGTATATGTGTGTGGACAGAGCCGCGCGCGACACCGGGAGTCACAGATCACCGGAGGCGGGCGAACGCGTCGCGACCGCACCGCGCAACGTACGACGCTCGACTGCGACTGCGAGCCGGGTAGTACCGAACCGAAGTGGATGACGGGAACGTGTGAACGCCGCTTGCCGCCGCCGCCGCCACCGCCGCCGCTGCCGCTGCCGCCACCCCGCGCTACTCCGCGCCAACCCGCGTCGCGACACACCGATGAGCGACGACCAACCCGACCGCCGCGGCGGCGGGCCCACACCGACGCATCAATGAGAGAGCGAGCGCGCACGAACACACACGCACACGCATATATACACACACATACACACGGGCCGAGAACGGCAGTGGCAGCTACGCTCCGTCTCGCTTCCACCGCAAGCTGTCCTGCCCCCACCGCAGCGCCGCGTTCTCCTCACCCCCTTCCGCCACCCCGCGCGCGAGTCAAGGGCGTCGACTGACGGGGGCGAGAGAGCCGCTCCGCCGCGCCGTCTCTCTCCCGGAGAGTTTGTGGGTTACGAAGAAGAGAATCTGTATCTCCCTTTCTCCCCGTTGGGCTCCGGCCCTCTTCCCGAGGAGCCGTTGAAAAAGATTCAATCCACCGCTCGCGGCGCGGCGACCCGCGGCCGTCCCCGTCACCGAGCGCACGTCCTCTCCTCTTCTTCCGCGTTTTGTATCTCGCACGGAGTACATACTTACTCTCGACCCGTTCGTATATCTCGCGTTCGCGAATGTCGAACGATGTCCGTCAAATCTCGGAATGTATCTTTCGTATATTTCATCGACACTCGCGGCGGTCGTGTTGAATCGTTTTTATCCCGGGATGATTTTGACAAAAGCGCGAAACTTGAAACTTTAGTCGGAACACACCACGCTAATAAACCGTTAAGGCCCGGGCACATGGAAAAACTTAAGCAGCAACGAAATCGACGGTTTTGATTCGCTACCGCTTGTGTCTTGAGTTCTTGACTGTGATTGGCCGATTTGCTTACTGCTTAAGTTTTTCTATGTGCCCGGGCCTTTAATTCCCCTCGATTTAAATTGGTGGCCACGTTACAGGTACATCTCTTAAATCTGACGTGATAATTGTTCATTTGCTCGCCTCGAGATCGCGATTTTCCGCTTGTACCGACGATTTTCAATCAGCGCGGGGGATCAACGGCGCATTAATGTATTCGCCGTCGCGCAGCGCGCGCGCGACAAGTTTCGAAAACTCTTTAGCGACACCCCTGCTTTTCGCTGCTCGTCGCTCTCGCTCTCTCGCGCGCGATATCCTCCTCTCCTCGCGTTCTCATGCTACGGATATACCTCGAGTTCTCCGTTTGTCGCTGCCTCTCCGTCGCGCCGACGGCGTTTCTTAATCTTTCGCTCTCTCCGGTCGGTCGGTCCCTCGGTCGTCTCGCTCTCTCTCTTTCGCTCGCTCGCCCGCGCCCTCGCAATCCCGCAGGCCGATGGTATATAGCGGGAATGCCGAATGTCGGACTGCGGGGGGTGGCTATGTGTGCGTGCGCGCGCGTACATACGTGATATACACGTGCGTGTGCCGGCGACAGAGACGGCGCGAGTCAAAGTGGCGGAGAGCGCCGGACAACACGAGTCAACCGGCAACGTAAGTAGAGAGCTCGGCGTGGGTGTAACCGCCGCGAGCGACGTAGGGTGAGGGACTGGAGGGGGAGGAGAATGGTGGACGAAGCGCGGGGGGAGGGAGGAAGCGGGAACGGAGGGAGAGAGAGAGGCGCGCGCGAGCGTGCGGACACGGTTGTGTACGGTTGTGTATAAAGCTCGCGCTTACGTACACACGTCGCTCGTGTGGCGCTCATCATATTACACACCGTTCATGCATCGCGTCCGCCGCCGCGTTGCTTTGAGGAAGAGATGAATCCTCGATTCGGTTAAACGCCCGCCAACCGGGGGATGCTCTAAATCAGGGCTGTCTACCTGAGCACACACGTATGCACACGCGTACGTATGTATACGTACGCCAGCCCCGGCTTTTCGAAATTCCAATACTCCGCTCTCTCCGCCGCCGCTCCCGCGAGCGAGCGAGCGAGCGAGCGACGAGATGAGAGCGAGAGCGACGTCGGCTATTGCACCAATGCGTTTTCCTGCGCATCTCGTCGCGAGATGTATGTCTTCCTCGCCGGCGTGATCGATCATGAATAGAAATCGACGGGATACGGCGGCCGCGATGTTGTGTTGCATCGTGTTTCGCTCCGAGGCGGGATAATGGAATCAGAGATATTGAAATTTTTGTAAAAACCGAAGTTCGAAAAAGCATTTTCCACCTTCCTCCTTTATTTTGCATTCGAAAAGGTCGGACTGTAAGTAAATTGGCTAAAGAAGTCACGGTTCTTTTGAGATTATTTCGCAAATATTAAGTGAAACATGACCGTTATGATATACAATAAATTACAGAGAAAAACGTCAATATAATAATGAAATATTATATTACTTTTGAATTTTATATACTTTTTTTTAACTGAGTAAACTGCATCAATTTTTTGTCGATCTTTAAAACGCAGCTCCTAGTTGGAAAAATCTACATACTTAAGTCGATAATCAATTTAATTTTTTATGCTAATAAACATCCTTGTTAAATCACTGTAAAGAACTTATTGCGAAAAATATCATCCCAGTCAGAGTTCGACCTCTCTATACCCCGAAAATATTCCGTGAGATAAAAATTGATGATATATTCAAACGCGGTTCGTAAGACGACAACGAAAACGAAATAAACGAAGTTGAAAAAGGGATTTAATCATATTTGTTTTCCACTTTGTTCCGCGTATATAAAAAATCTAACTGTGTAAGTTAGTCACGGAGTTCGTGGCAGAAGCTGCTTGGGATTATTCCGAGAAATTACGTAATGATACAATTTAAAATGCGGCTCGTAAAAATGCGGCTCGTAAGACGATAACGAAGTAAACGTTGACGCGCCAAGGAAAACGTCGCTAAGGAAATATAAATATAAGCGCGCGCGGTTTATTGGCAAGTATTCCGATGTATCGGATGCGCCGCTTTCCAAGCGCGATTTATCGTCGCGATTCGCGCGCAGAATTTCAGCCACGAGAGGCTAACTATACCGTTCGGCTACAATTGACTGTGTTTACGCGTAGAAAATTAATTCCGACCCATAAAACGCGCATATATATATACCATGCATTTTGCATATCCGTTTACGCAACGCGAAATGGATTCGCATGAAATTTTTAAATCCCATGCAAAAGTTGCGCGATGACGAACGGCCTAGGCGACGCTCGCAAATGGATTTCGAGATCATCGCGCTTGTCTCGGCGTGTAGTGTTTCGGCATTATCGCGATATACATATACATATGTTTGCGATGTTTATGCTCGATAGACAGAGAAGCCGGATTCGTGTTCGACGGAGTTCGCGGTCGGTCATCGCGCATCCGGGACCGGACAAACGATCCGCTAATCTGCGCGATCCGGCCCGTCGTCGACTTATCGGCCTCGCAATTTGCGAGAATGTGGTCACCCGATGAGAGAGAGAGAGAGAGAGAGAGAGAGAGAGAGAGAGAGAGA